CATGAATTATGCATTTCTGGAATTAATGACATTTAATCTTCTACCCATATAGGCCACTATATTGCTGGGAAGCTGTTATATAGCATTGTATAAGTGAATAGGGAATGCATACTACTTTAGTTAAGTCCTAAGCAAAAGACTAATTTGTAGCCCTCATATAAGTCATATAGTATAAATCTGTCCCTGATGGTTTAGGATATTAGTTTTAACACTATGCCTCTACAATATGAAATTGTGGGTTAACTGCATATAAATTCAAAATTTTGTCTGGCAATTCCTAGACTTGGAAGATGCCACCACTTACTTTGTAACTTTGGGAAAGTTAACCTTCTTAAAATTTAGTTTTGGTAGCAAAAAGGGGACTAAATAATGCCTTGCAGTTTTGGTGATAAGTAGAATCTAACATAGTTGGATATTTAGTCAAGTTACCTTGTATAAAACTATAAGAACAGCTTTTAGTTGTTTGTTTAAGATACTTATATTAGTGTTAGGGAGCTTATAGGACGTGTTTAAATTGTATTAACATTGTTGAGAGATTCATGTTTGTTTGATGGGCTAATTATAGATTTTAACAAAGTTGTGTCTTTGCTGATCCTTTTTTTCTTTCAGGTGCCTCGCATTTGTCACTTTTTTTTTTTTGTATTTTTCATTCATTAATATTCAGAATTGTCTTTAGGTTTAGGAATGTATGAAACACCCCTCTTCCTAGCTCATGAAGAAGAGTCCGGTGGCCGAAGTGTTCCCACTACTCCTCTGCAAGTAGCCGCTCCAGGTAGGTATCCTGTTACTGGAGTGTGTGTCTTATTGGTAAAATGGAAACTTGTGAGGCATCTTTTGGCTGAAAATTAGATAAACCACAAAGTTAAAGTGTTCGTTGCTTTTCTGGTCTTGTTTTGAAGTGAACGTATTTACTGAGAGTAGTACCACCTCTGATGCTTCAGAGCATGCCTCTCAGTCTGTTCCAATGGTGACAACATCGACTGGCACTTTATCCACAACCAACGAAACAGCAGCAGGTGATGATGGCGATGAAGTGTTTGTGGAGGCGGAATCTGAAGGGTAAATGTTTACTGTGTAATATTTGCTTGCTTTAGATTTGCCAGACTTCTGCATTTGTTTTCCTTTAGCCAGGAAACAATCTGTTGAGCTATATTTTCAGTTGCATCTTATTACAAAAGTAAACCAAGGCATCTATTTTGAAAGATTAATTTTTGCATAAAAAATATTTTGGGACTTGGAGGTTGTTATTACAGGAGACAAATGTTAGCTCCCTAAACATTGTTCTAGAATAAATATATTATGCAAAGTATTTCTTTAAAATCACTGGTACTCTCCCATTAATGTAGCTGCTTGAACTTTTTCCAAAAAAAAGAGAAGTCAGTCTGTGAAAGTTAGGAATATTAGGAAATGATTTAACTTTCCATTTAGTAGTGGGCTTTCAAATGAACCTCACTTATCCTTAATGTGCATTTAGAACTTTTTATAAATTAGAAATTATCTAGTAGTTTTCAAGACCTGACTATTGGTAATACATGTGTTATAAACAAAGTAGTCTTAGAGAAGTTTAATTTATTTTTAAATATATTTTTATTGATTTCAGAGAGGAAGGGAAGAGAAACATCAATGATGAGAGTGTGTCAATGATTAGCTGTCTCTTGCTCATATCTCACTGGGAGTTGGGAATTGAACCCCAACCTCTTGATTCATAGGTCGATGCTCAACCCCTGAGCCACACCAGCCAGTCAGAAACCTACTTTTTATAAATAAAAAGTTGGGCTACTTCATGAGTCATAAGCAGAGCTAGAAGTAGAACCCAGATTTCCTGCCATGTATGCAGGTCACTTCATAGAAGTCATTTCTAACCCATACAGTACCTTTGCAAAGTGTCATCATTTTACAAGTGAGAAAGCTCTGAGTCAGAGCATATACCTCTGGTGGCTGACTCCAGCCCCTGTGTTTTATTTAGCTTCACACCTGACCAACACTGTTCAGCGTAGGCACATAGTCATGAGAGAGAACTTCAGGTACATGTTACTAATAACGACTAAAATTGAGGTTGTTTTGTACACTCTTATCTCACTTGCTTTTTGATTGCTCTCCGGAATGGGAGAGAGAAATGGCCATTGAGCCAGGGATTCTATCCATAGCCTGTCTCATCTGCGCCGGAGCCCCTTTTGAGTTAGAGGTCTGTTATTAATAGTTGTGACTTGTGAATTATTTTATTACTATACTCTCCTAGAAAGTTGTTTTGAGGTTTATCAAAATCTGGATAACATATCTCTTGCAAATGTTAAGAATGTAAACATCCCTCATCAAAAAGAAAAAGATTATAAAAAAGAGAGAAAAACTAAATTTGGAAAGTGAGAAGCTATGTGTCCCCTACCCCTTTAAAAATATATATGGCTACTAATATCAGAGTTGGCAGTTTTGATTTAGAGTAGAACTCTGCATTAAGTGATAAATTATATGGAAACGAGTTTGGAAACAATAGGATACACTCTAGAATCAGTTTTATATTTTCTAATCAATTTTTACCTTTCTTAGTATTAGTTCAGAAGCAGGCCTAGAAATTGATAGCCAGCAGGAAGAAGAACCTGTGCAGGCATCTGATGAGTCGGATCTTCCTTCCACCAGCCAGGACCCTCCTTCCAGCTCTTCTGTAGGTAAGTCCCAGCTGTTGACTACATGTAGCTTTACACATCACTCTTGTTTCCCAGACACTTTTATTGGTAATTTTATCTTCCCCGCCCCCCCCTTAATTGTAAAATGCTTTATTTAAAAGGGAAATTTTATTTTCTTACAAGGAACTTGGTTTATATTAAAGAAAATTGGTTGTACTAGTGGTGCTAAAAGGGCTGTGGAGGAGGGGTGGTTACTAAGGAGTAGTACTATAGGCCTCTCTTGCCTAAACCAGAGCAGTTCCATTTTTGTTTGTTCTACATATTAGTCTTCTACAGCGATCTGATAGAGTTGTTGAGCACTTACTGTGTATCAGACAGGAGGCAAAGCCCTTTATATATTTACTCATTTAATTCTCACATCATTCCAATGTGGTAAGCATTCACCCCCAATTTATAGTTATGGAAACTGATGCACTGAAAGGTTTAATAACTTCTCCAAAGTCACATAACTAGTAAAGAATAGGCAAGCCTGAGCAAGTGCAGACTCCAATCTTAAACATACTATACCAACTTGCCTATCTCAAAATTTTTAGGTAGGGAATTACTTGGAAAACATGCACAGTTACCACATTCTTAGTCATGGAACAGTGCCATCTCAGGGTCTCTTCTCCCTCTCAGCTGCTTCTCTGGCACATCAGCCTATAGCCAGCATCCCTAGTTTCCAATCTCACATCCACCTTTTAGCAGCTGTTAACTTTAAATCACTGGACATTCATAAGTAATCTTGCAGCTGAGATTGTATTAATGATAGTTGTAGTAATCTTGCAGCTGAGATTGTATTAATGATAGTTGTAGACATTTCTAATTAGTAAAATTTGGTGCCCCCCGTTATATTCTAACATCCCATGAAAAATTGTTTTCTCACCAGAATTGGAACTAGTTATATCATGCTAGAGCTTATATGGAAAAATATGGTTCTTGTCCCCTTTACAGTATAATAGGAAATTAGAATCTTTTTTATTTGAAAATATAACACACTAACTTTCCCATTTGAGCAGTTATTCATTTGGTTAAATATTTGAGTGTCTACCATGTGTTGTCAGGCAATTTCACAGAAAGCACTGTTTAAATAAACACTGTGCAGTCATTTGGGGGAAGAGCATTCTAGGATGAGAGAAACAGCAAGTGCAAAGTCCACGAGGCAGGAGTGTGTGTTCAAGGTCAGCAAGGAGGCCTGAGTGGCTAAACTACCGTAAGGACGGAGAGATTAGCAGGTGACAGGATACATCTAGTAAGTCATTGTAATTGCATTGACTTTCATAGATAAAGTTTGGGGAGGGTTTCAATTGCAGTGACATGATCTGACTTAAAGACTTGACCATGTCAGTTTGGCTGCTGTGTAGAGAGACTGAAAAAAGTAATGAACAGAAACAAGGAGAAAATTTGGAGGACATTCCAGGTAAAGATGTTTTAGACAGGATTATAGAGTTCAGGTTTTGGGAAGAGGTCATATTTGGGATATAAATACAGGAATTTTCTTATCCTTTTTAAAAAAAACTTTTAAATATTAAACTTGTAAATATTAATGTTTTTCTTCTTAGATACTAGCAGTAGTCAGCCAAAGCCTTTCAGACGAGTAAGACTTCAGACAACATTGAGACAAGGTGTCCGTGGTCGTCAGTTTAACAGACAGAGAGGTAAATTTCTAACATCCTGACTACATGATAGGATGATAAACGGAAGAATTTTTCTCATTTAAGCCTCCAACTAGTTATCTCATTTTTTTTAAATGTTCCAAGGATTATGCATTAGGTATGTGATGTTCAGTAATATATAAACATTTTATAGACAGATATGTATACCCTTAGGTGTGTAATGAATATGTGCTTCTCTAAATCTTTGAATTCAAGGAAGAAATAGAAGTGTTATGTAGTTATTTAACTTTGTTTAGCTAGTCTAATAGGCAGAGATGTACCATAGAGCTTTATTCTATTGTACGAGAGTGTAAAATTTTAATATCATGTTAATCTAATTGTAGTTTTTGAAACAATTTAAAATGAACCAGAGTATGTGGATACTCTAGTTTGGGGCTAGCTTCTTAAAAGATTCATTCAGTTTGATTTTTTTTTCTCTTTTATAGGTGTGAGCCATGCAATGGGAGGGAGAGGAGGAATAAATAGAGGAAATATTAATTAAATGTTCTATAAATTGTAATAACTGTGAATAAGATTGTTCAGTCTGTTTTAGTGTTATGATTGTCGAATTTAAAGACATTTTGTATTTAAATTGGTATGCTTATCTCAACATTCTTTATTAATAAAAGGTATTTCAGTGTCAGATTTATCATTGTTTGACTTGTCTGTTCTTTTGCCCACCAGTCTAAGGACAGTTGTACCAGACTTTGGATAAGGTCTGCCCAGGAGGAGGAGTAACGGCTCTTGCTGTCCTGCTGGGCACATTCAAGTTATAGGCTTGACCTAAATAGAAGAGAGAGATCATTTTGTTAATTACAGCACTTGAATATAGAAATATTTGAGTATAACAATCAACATAACCTAACAAAAACTTCTGTCTTGACAGATTGACCTTTTAATAAAATTAGGTTTAACTCTCCAAGTAAAAATCAAAAACCACTTGAGTTTTACCCTTTTCTTAAAAATCCTAATGTCATCTGTATAGGCAGAACAACACATTTCTGGGTTTTTCAAAGAAAAATGTTTCAGATAATATAATTTAATAAAAATTTGTTTCTCAGGAACTTATGCCTGATTTTTACGGACGGTAATGATGCAAATCAGTGTAACTTTATGGCAAATGGGGCCTCCACTAAATGCCAAATACTGTTTTCAGGAGCAATTTACGTAAGTAATATTTTATCATCTCATGAAGGAGAGGGCAGCTTTCAGTTGCAGTCCTTTCAATTTAAATTTCTCACCTTCAGCCTCCATTGAACACTTGGTGTTTATGTTTGTATTTCAGAGATTAGGTCACATCTTTGAGAAGCTATTGAGAGTTTACTTACCCCTAGAGAAAGCATAGTAATCGTAGCCGTCAGGTTTTCTGATGTTGGGCAGGGATATAGCTGAGGTAACCACGTTGGGAAGTCCTTTCCACAGAGTACTTATTCTGGCTTCATTGTGGAGGAAACCTATAGATGATATTGGAAAGAGTCAGACATAGAGTATTAACTCCAATCTGGTCATTTAGCAGCTCCGTTACCTTGGATGTTATTTAACTGCAGTGCCTAGTTTTTACCCTCTCATAAGTAGTGCAAATGACTACCTTTATCACTGTTTTCAGAGTTACAGATTTGTATATAATGTTCTTGGTAAGAGATAATTGTAACATTCAAACTGCATTCCTTACCCACAAAGGAAAAGGAAAAGGTTTAATCTTTGAGCATTCACTGAGGCACATTGATGTTTTGCACCAATAAGCTTAAAATATTAGGGTGGTTTGGTCAATATTCATATTTAATAAGCCTTACATCTACTTCATGTGTAAGGATTTTTAACACAGTAAAAAGAAAAAGAAAAAAACATTACCTTTGTCTTGATAAAGGACTCTGATGGGCGGCGAATAGTGAATTCTGACGGTGTGTGTGTGAGATCCGAGATCCCGTTCAATGCGAAGTCTCCTAACCTGTCTAACCTGTGTGTTGTACACGGGGTAATTCAGAGCAGGCCTTCTTCCAGTGCACTTCGTGTTGGGTTCTTGTCTGTAAGTGTACTTCTGAACACTGCCCCCTATTAGAAAACATAATGAAAATTAATTTAGTCCCCCCAAAAAGAAAAGAGCTTTTACAAGGTGGAAGAAACAATGTTTTTCATAATGTCTAGACGGTATTGGCTATTAATCAAGGGTATTATAATTACTAGCCGAAATCGGTTTGTCTCTGGATAGAGTGTTGGCACCCTGCGGACTGTGAAAGGTCCCAGGTTCGATTCCGGTCAACAGCATGTACCTTGGTTGCAGGCACATCCCCAGTAGGAGGTGTGCAGGAGGCAGCTGATCGATGATTCTGTCTCATCGATGTTTCTCTCTCTCTCCTCCTCTCTGTAAGAAATCAATAAAATATATTTTTTAAAAAAACAAAATAATTACTAAATCCTGAAATACTTGATTGCATAGCTATGTATTAAACTTTGTGTGAGAGTAAATGATTCTATTTGCATGTTGAGAAATCTAAATGTTTCTCAGTGCTCTTTTTTTAATTGAAATTATTTGATCCAGCTATTAAAGATATCTTTTGACAGTAAACACAGTAGTAAATGAAAATATTCAATAAAACTTTTCTGGCAAATCAACTGTTAAAAGTTACGTAATTTTGTCAATTATGTAGCACATACCTCTCTTGAAAAAATACACAGATTCAGGTCTCTCCTTATATTTAGGTATTGAAAGAGCTCCCAGTATTTTTCCATTTAGTCCTCCAAATCCTTTTACAATCTGTTTGGGATACCCAGGATCTTTTACATCATTGGTGAAACGCCAGTACTGAGAATCCTGATCATTTAAAAGAGGAAGTGATGTTAACAGTTTGGGGGAGAAAAAAGGTTATAAATTCATTCTTAGATTTTAAGTGTAGGGAGAAAGTTTTAATTTAGGTATTTGAATAGGTTGACCATTAATGTTACCAAATTGTGTTAACCTTTGATTAAATTTTGATGGTAATTTATTAAAATATGGAACCCTTCTGAAGTGGAATTTAAGCTGACATGTTTTCATAAACAGATTTGCTGATTTCTCTTACAAAGGTATTTTTCTTAACAAAGGTATATTTCTTACCTTAAAGAAGAACGTTTTTCCTTCACAGTTGCACCTAGTAAAAACAGTATCGATGGGAGAGGGAATACCCCAGACTTCAGTAATTCTACGAGGAGGAGATGGTGGACTGAGTGGATTTAACATCCAAAAGTAATGACCTAAAATTGAAAGTGATAAATCAGCCTGAATGAATACTATTATCCCAAAAGAGACCAAAATGAAAACATTTTTAATTATCCTGAACCATTGAATGTGTTAACAAGCATTCTATGACCAGAAGTTGAGTGAGGACTGTACTAGCACAGAACATAGTGTTTGAACATTTTTTAGGGTAAATCTCAAGTCTGAAATTTGACATATTTTAGTTTTTCAGTTTCTCTTGAAAGAGCCTTTGATTTTGTGACTTACAGAAAATCACTTTTGTCTCAATTATAATTCCTTGTTTCTGAAAAAGAAAGAAAGGCCTACTAAAATCTCTTCCTCTACTGAGCAAGTCTATGTATGACTTACTTCCCTTCAGATTTAATCTTAAGTAAATGAAGACCGGACTAGTGTCAATACAGAGAATTAACATACAATTGCTGTTCTGGGATTCCTCCACAAAGGGTAATTAACACTGCTGAATACATCACAATCAAGATGTTATACTCTTTGCCCTGGCTGGTGGTGTAAGTGGTTAGAGCACTGACCCTTGTACCAAAGGATCTCAAGTTCAATTCCAGGTCAAGGGCATGTACCTAGGTCAGGACCTGAGTGGGAGGCAACCAATGTGTTTCACTCACATCCATGTTGTTTCGAGCTCTTCCCTATCTTCCTTCCCTTCCACTCTTGAAAAATCAATTGGGGGGAGAGGGGGGGGAGATTATTTTCAAATACAATAGAACAAGGAAAACAAATCCTAGTGTCATTTCATCTGATAGGAAATAGGAATTAAAATGTAGTTCAAATTTTAATTTCATAACGGTAGGAACAAGTAGCATCATTTCACGCTTTTGTTATTCCAATGTCTAATTTTATTAATATTTTGGTAATTACTATCAGGTTTTCATATACACTAAGTGGCCAGATTATTATGTGTTCAGAGATCATAATCTGGCTACTCATTGTATACATATATAAAAGGCTAATATGCAAATTGTCCCCTCAACCAGGAGTTCGACCAGCAGGCAGGCCGCCAACCATCCATGTCCCCTCCCCCTGGCCAGGCTGGTACCGGATCTCTAATATACACACATGCACACACACTGAGTGGCCAGATTATTATTCGTTCAGAGATCGTAATAATCTGGCCACTCAGCGTATTTCATGAGGTAAGGTCATTAGTCGGGTTCCCCTTCAGAAACCTCAACCCAAACTACTGACTCCTATGGCTTTGGTTCTCTTAAATGCCAAGAGCAAAATGAGGGACAGAAAAAGGTTTGTGCCGAGCTCACCTCGAAATGCAACTAATGTTCCATTGGCCAGAGTCGTCAGTCCATCTACCGATCTACCATTGCATAAATTGGTTTCATCTGAAATAAAGTCAATACAAAACAAAATGAAAATGTGTGTTTTTTTAGTTGTTTTTTTCAAATTATCCCAGTTTTATTTCCTCTTCATTTCTTAAGCTCTTGAAGGGTATTATTGTTTGAAATGTGTGGATTTCACAGGTGAAAGAGAAGTGATATTTCATAATTGTTTTACTAAAACTAAAGGTGATAACTATTCAAAAAGTATGTAAAAATAAGTGATGGCCTTGACTAGTGTGGCTCAGTGGATTGGAGCATCATCTCTTGCAAGGGTGGACTGCCAACTACATATGTTTGCTATTCTGTACAGTGGCTCTGCCTACAGATGCACTAAGTCCCTAAAACTAGGTCATTACTCCTTTTTCCAAATACAAATCATCTTACTGTGATTACGCCTCTGCTTCTAAGACTTCACAAATTAAGTTCAGGATTCTAGATAATTTATATATTAAAACAGGGCATTACAGTTCTGATAGACACATGTTAACATTAGAAACTAAAAAACGAGTCTCTTTACCTGAAAGCATGGGGTCGTTGTCAGTGCCTTGTTCAGATCCTTCCACTCTTAAGGCAGCTCCTGGGATAATTAGAGGAGTTAACACTGGGGGCCTGAGAATCACATAAGGCTTTTCTCCTCCAGCAGCATTCGCAACATCTGCATCTTCATTCTTTGGATTTTCTTCCGCCATTTCTGAGTTACTAGGTTGGTTAGAGCTGGTGGTGGTTTGGAGCAGGGCAGGGTTCACTGTAGGTGCCGTTGATGTGGTCATCTTTGGGGGGGATGGTGTCGGTTTTGGCTTCGTCACCTTAGGCGTTGTGCTTGGCTTCTTGGTGGTGGTGGGCATTTGGGGTGCTTTGGTAGGCTTTGGGGGTTTAGCAGTCACTTTAGGATTAGCAGCTGTATCTTTGGATGTAGTTACTATGTCTTCAGATGTATTTGTAGTCTCTTCCGTTGTCGTCTTTTTTGGTGCAGCCGTCACTTCCGGTGCAGGAGTCGTTTCCTTAGGAGTAACTTTGGCTGGTGTGGTATCTTTGGTTGTGGTAGATGTCACCTGCTTGGTTGTACTTGTTTTGGACTCAGTGGTCTTTTCTTCTGCTGGAGTCACTTCAGGTGCAGGAGTCGTTTCCGGAGGAGTAACTTTGGCTGGTGTGGTGTCCTTGGTTGTGGTAGATGTCACCTGTTTGGTTGTACTTGTTTTGGATTCAGTGGTCTTTTCTTCTGCTGGAGTTACTGTCTCTTTTGTTGTAGATGTGGCAGTTGTAATTTCACTTGTAGTGTGCGTGCTTTTTTCTGTTGTCTTATCCTTTGATGTGGTGGTCGTTTCAGGTTTGGTCCCTTCAGGAGCCTTGGTTGTAGGTAGAGCAGGCTCCTCAGGACTGTTTTCAGGAGCCTTTGGTGTGGGTTCTTCAGGAAACTCGGGAGTTGATTCTGCAGGATTCTCAGGAGGAGTGGGAGGCTCCTTGGGGGTGGTGGGCTCGGGCTTCTTGGGGGTGGTGGGCTCGGGCTCTTTGGGGGTGGTGGGCTCGGGCTCTTTGGGGGTGGTGGGCTCGGGCTTCTTGGGGGTGGTGGGCTCGGGCTTCTTGGGGGTGGTGGGCTCGGGCTCTTTGGGGGTGGTGGGCTCGGGCTCTTTGGGGGTGGTGGGCTCGGGCTCTTTGGGGGTGGTGGGCTCGGGCTTCTTGGGGGTGGTGGGCTCGGGCTTCTTGGGGGTGGTTGTAGGTTCCTTGGTGGTGGTGGTGGACGTCGTGGTGGGAGAAGGAGATGTGGTTGTGGTTGTAGTTTCAGCTTCAGTTGTAGTTTTAGCAGAAACTGATGTGGCTTCCAAAACTTCAGATGTCTTTTCTGCACTTCGCGTCTCTTTACCTGAGGTCGTCTTCTCCGATGTACTAGCTGAAGTCTCTTTTGATGTTTTAGAAGTCTCTTTAGTTTCAACCGTTTTCTCCTTACTTGCTGTTGAAGATGTGTCTTTGGGTGCTTCAGGTTTCGGTGACGGGCTGGGTTTAGGACTTACTGTTGTCACTGTTGTAACCTTGGAAGTTGTGGTGGTAACTTTAGTGCTTTGAGTGGGGGGCGTGTCAGGAGTTGGGGTGAGCCTGGAATCGTCATCGTCTGATCCACTTCCAGCTTCATCTACAGCTGGTGGCTCTGGGGCAGGTTTCTTCTTAGGATTTTCTTTCTTGTTATCTTTTACTAGAGAAAAAAAACAACACATCTTTTATTCTTGAATAGTTTGTCTTCAGTAATGATGTAAAGCTCCCATTCTTATTGCTGACTGTGTGACTAGGCAGGTTGCTAACCTCTAATATGTCTATTAAGTTATTGTAAAATGTTCAATACTCAACCCGTCTTATTGGGCTGTTTTAGGGAATGAATGAGATAAGGGGTAAAATGCACAAGTAAACTATACAGTAAAGACATGACAAATTTGAAATTACCCATATGGTCAAATAACACTAATTCATCTCTTTACATTAAAGCTCTTTGGCCTTCCCTTTCTCTGCTCCTCTTTTTCCTCATTGCTCAGTGTCCCTTTCTCCTGGAAAGGTAGTTCCACCAAAATCATGTAGATTGACTGCATCCATTAGCTGAGAGGTCTCTACAGCTACATCCATGGATGCTCCAGTCACTCCCCTGGTCCCTGCTGAGTCATTTCCACGCCCAGGGCTGTTAGCTCTTCTCTTTCTTCTGCCCACAGGTATAGAAAGGATATTAGGATGCTATGGCAGCTAAAAGACCCCTTTAACAGGATTTGCCATAGCAACTACCCCACGGGTGAACTACAGAGCCCAGGGGCACATCATGAGATGAGTTCATTCAGCAAACATATACGTGCAGGAATCTCTGGATGACTCAAAGATTGAATATCTGGCTATTAATCTAGAGAAGGCTTCAGGGGAAATCACAACCACCCAGGAAATAGTTCCTTAGAACTCCAGTATCCAAAATCCAGGACTTCCTGGGGAAAGAGAATATAGAGTTTAGAATTTCAGGAAATAACAATCAGAACGAAGGGAACCTCTTCAGGAGGGAATAGCCTACTCCCGTGGTTGGCAAACTGCAGCTCCAGAGCCACATGCGGCTCTTTGGCCCCTTGAGTGTGGCTCTTCCACAAAATACCGTGTCCTGGGCGAATCTATTTTGAAGAAGTAGCGTTAGAAGTTTAAAAAATTTGTCTCTGTTGACTGAGTTTGCCGACCATTGGCCTACTCTGTAGTACATTTTCTACTACAGAAAAATCAGCCAGATAAGACATCTAGATTCATTAGGAAAACAGTAAAGAGGATTTGTGAACTGGAGAATAATACTGAGTTTCCCCAAGAAATGTATGAGAATTTAGTAAATTGGCATTTTAAAGCAGTATATAAGTACTTGTTAAGTAAAATAAAAAATCTGGAGAAGGAAAAAATGAAAAAAGAGAAAGAAGGAAGAAAAATGAAAAAAGGAACTGAAATAGAAAACCATCATCTTTGGCGCCATCCTGTGGTTTCACAGTTTCTGCTAGAGCATTTTATCCTTTGCTTTGGTTGGTTTCTGAGCTGCTTGTCACTAATTTCCTAAAGGACATTTGCATTGGTATTTTCTAAAATAGCTTTTATAAAGTTATACACCTCCCTCCCCAAATATTAAAATATCTTCAAATCACTCTATCAACACGCATTACGTTAGATAATTATTATGGCATTGATATAGTCTTTGATCTTTATCAATGCTCAAACCTTTGGGTTTCTTCTTTAATTCTTTATTAGCAGCTGAATTTTTGGAAGACTTGATTTTCCGAATACTTGAAGAGGAAGAGGAAGAAGAGGAAGAAGACTCTTGATTTTCAGAAACAGAATGTTCTATAAATCAAATAAAAAGGTGATCACACCAATTGTGATTTAAGTCAAGAACCTCCAGTCCAAACACAAGAAATGCTATTTACTAATCAATAAATGTCTGTGTTCTGATTTTGTTTTGTCAGTAGCACAATCAACTGCCCTTCTAATTAATTGTCAGTTAAAAGATATCTGAGCTTATCACAGATACTAGCAATCCTATATAATTAAAGGCCAATATGCAAACGGTTCAACCGTTTGACCAGTCACTATGTTGCACACTGACCACCAGGTGGTAGATACTCCAACCAATAGGTTAGCTTGCTTCTGGGGTCCAGCCAATTGGGACTGAAGGAGATGGGCTGGACATTTCCTGGAGTCCTCCCATAATCCCTCCCCACTCCCGATCATATACCAGTGGTGTCTCTCAGCCTGGCTTGCGGGGATCGGACTGAAACTGGCTCTCTGATATCACCCAAAGGGTCCCGAATTGCCAGAGGGTGCAGGCCAGGTTGAGGGTCCCTACCAGTGCACAAATCCATGTACCAGGCCTCTAGTATAAACTACAAAATCTAATCTAAAAAAAATAAATACTTATTTCCTCTGATTATTTTAACTTAAATCCATACTAGGTTCAGTAAATAAGGAAAATAAATATCTGAGTGTTTATACTTTTAAGTAAACAAAGCATAATGAGCCTTTAATGACTCAAAATTATCCTCTTCTACAAGGAGTTGGTCACCTATAGGTTATTTCATCTCAAACTTCTGTCATCTTCCTACCTTCTGTTATTTCCTCTGATTCTATAACTTTCTTAGTCGTCTTCTTATCTGTTGATTTGGGTGAACGTTTGGTGGTTGATTTGATGGGTGGACGTGCTCTTGCAGGCGGAGGTGCAGCCTTTGAAGATGGTGGTGGTGTGGGGCTATCCACTGAGGCCAAGCAAGATAGGTTGGTTAACACCTGTTTATACTCATCAGTAACTAACTGTGAAAGCCATGGATGCATCTGTCAAGATTAGATGCTGGTTTGCCCAGCTGGCGTGCTCAGTGGTTGAGCATCCCATGAACCAGGAGGTCATGGCTCCATTCCCAGTCAGGGCACTTGCCCAGGTTTCAGGTTCAGTTCCCAGTAGGGGGCGGTACAGGAAGCAGCCCATCAGTGATTCTCATCATTGATGTTCCTATCCTCTCTCCCTCTCACTTCCTTTCTGAAATCAATGAAAAACATTAAAAAAAAAAAAAAAAAAAAAAAAAAAAAAAAAAAAAGTAGATGCTGGTAAAAACTACTCCAAACCAATTAATTCTGTAAAATATTGGTCCTTGTGTTATGACAGGCAGCAAAGGCTCAGGACTCAGCCTTGCAGGACTAGGTCTGAATTTGTCTGTCATTTTACCTTCGGACAAGAGTGACTTCCTTTTGAACTTCATTTTTTTGTTTGCAAACATACTTATTCTAGATTTCTGGGGGTATTTATCTAAAAAGTGCTTGAGTTTATAAACTCCATCCCTTTGTCTGCCTTCTGTGGTGAAAATAATTATTCCACATGGATGAGAAATTGAGTAATTGCATTTTTTTTTGTTTCCATGTTCTTTTTCAAGTAATGATGCCAATTTACCTTTCAGTTATGTGTTTAATCACGAAAGTTCTAAATAAATATTTACTTTTGTAAGAACTTCCACAGCTTCCCATGATGCTTTTCTCAAAACTAGTCAAACAGCTGTTCATGATTTGAGGTGTTTCTTTTAAACTTTTGTCACCCCTCCTCCCACTTCTTTTCATGTCCAGAAGAGAGGACATGTTTTGATCACTAGGAACCAGAAGAAGAGAGAAACCGGTGAGAGAGTGGGAAGCAGAGAACAGTGGGGACGCACAGGAGGGGGCAGGGGGGGGGGCGGAGGGTTGCCATAAACCCGCTGCTCTTGCCAAGCATCTCAGAACTCTCTGGCTGCAGTCTCCATGAACCGACCACGGCACCTCTCTCCCTGTCTCCCCCTACAAACGCGACAAGTACCTCAATTTGAGAAACTGTTCTGCCACGTACTAATTAGTGATCTTCAGCCACACACTTAACCTCTTGGCTTTTCTCACCCACATCTGTAGCTCGACTGCCGATTCCTTCAGTTCTTGAAATGTGATCACAGAAATATAGATGCCTACAAGCAGTACCCAGCAATCTTGAGACAACTGAATGCTGAGTGAACAAGATAAATTGGTTGCTATTCTTTAAAAGTGAAGTAGTGAAGCTCTGGGGGGTGTTCCTTTATTTGTGTTTTCCACAAACCTCATGAAATCTGATCCACCTAAGGCATTATCTTTATTAGCAGGTTCTCTCCATGCTTCCTCACTCTCTAACTGTCCTCACTCCCCACCCAGCCTCTGCCCAAGATGCATTCTTAGTGTTCTGTCTCACGGCCAGCACGGTTCTCAGGGCAGGGAGTAAACATGCCCTGCCCACACGGGTCTTCCTGAAAGCCGCAGGGACTCTGCTCTGAGTTTTCCATTACAAGAGTGTCCTCTCCGATATTCCTGGAATGCTTTCCAACGAAAACACGGAACAGTGAAGAAAGGCCCCTCAGCTCAGCTCCTGCCCTCTCTCCGCTGCTGGAAAGGAGCAGGCCTCAGCCTTGTCTAAATAGAATGGTCGGGTTATGCAAGCAAAGCTGATCTACACTTTCTTCCACAAATTGTCTTGTTTTGGCAAAGAAGGCTTTAAGAACAAACCTTTGGTAAAAGAATTATTTTTAAATCTTAGGCGGGGGAGAGGAGGTTGGTAAAATTTAGATGGTTTTACCCCCCTCTCAGAGCCCTTCTTCCAGACCCATAACCAGAGAAGATTTTAAGGTGGGACTATCCTTTGTTATTGACTCTCAGGCACAGGACTTGGAGAGAGAGGGACTGTCAAGATGGGAAGAGACATACAATGCACAGTTAACAAATTCTCGGTAGGTTTGCTTGTAAATTTAGCGCCTTACACTAATTCACAAATGTACTAGTTCAGAAAAGCTAGAAAGTGTGGATTCTCCCTTTAAATACACACTGAATAACATAACTTTGTAAAGCACAGATAGTTCAAAGGATAGCTGACCATTCAGGTGAGAAGAAATCCTCCAGGGAGCTGGTTACTGTTACTTTAACCTGGAACTGAACCACACCTACAGAGAAAAGCATTTACACTCAGGCCTCCCTCTGTCACTCAGCCTGCGCCCCTGGAGCCTGGCCGAGCCAGGGCGTGCTGTGGGAAGAGGCAGCCAGCCAGCCCTCAGCTCATCTTAAGTGAAACAAAATTAGAATGAAGTAACTTAAATGTTAGTGAGATCAGCACCTTAGAGGGACGAACTGCGTGTCAGACATCAGTGAAGCTTAGGTGGGTGCACAGCTCTGACTGCACCCAGAAGCACCCACTGGGGCCGATGCTTACCTTCACAGAAATCGTCGAAATCGGAACAGCACTTGCCATACTTCTTACACTGGTCGTCACAGTCACACTCCCTCCCTCGTTCAAAGGTCTCGGAGCAGCGGCCTTTACAGGAGAGCTCTATCCAGAGCAAAACAAAACACTGCACATTAGGATTAGTGAGGACGACACAGTCACACCCATGAAGGGGGCCCATTTCCCACCTTCTTTCTGGCCCACTAGAGCCCCCAAAGAGCATTTCTTAAGTCCTTTGTTTAGGAAAAGGGATGGGTTCCCAAGTGGAGACAGCCCACGTCAAGGAAGAAATAATGGGGACTTAGGGAAACTTTTTTTGCCCTTTGAGATCCCAATGCTACCCAAGTCATATCCATGTATGGACAACAGGAAATGGGAACTGTTTCAATAGTAAATGACCCTTCATGGGAAACCCCGCCATCTTTTTTCCTCCTCACATCACAGTTTGTAATAGATTTCTGTTAAATAGTCAGATCCTACAGCAATATATTCCAAATGGGTCAATGTTTCAGCTCAAAATTAAAGGTCTGTTTATAATGCAGAGACCTTTATTATGACAAACTGGGTAAGGAGTAGAGATAAAAGACAACCTAATCCATGGCATGGATTGTGAAGACAAGGCTTGCATATTTCAAAAAAAGCCTTGGTTAGAGAGTCAATCACTCCAATGAGGCCTGTTTGAAATAATTACCTTACACAACACAACACATAACATTGTACAAGAATATATTTATGAGCTTCACATGCAAATTCTAAAAGCAAATATAACAATTTTAATTTTTATAAAGTAAATATGACATGTTTCTGTGTTAATAAAATGGCCCAAAATGTATTCATGTGAAATATTACCTACCATTCATCGAAAATTCAAACCTTTTGGGTTTTCATTGAAAGTCATCATTAAACACTGATGCTTCATCATGAAAGTGGCATTTTTAGGTAATTTAGAAACATGTCAATATTTTTTTTTTTTAAGTCAAGTAGTAGACAAGATTTTAGAACCATAGATTCTTCTGGTGAAACTTCTGAAGGGCCTCCTCCCTAAGCTATGACGTCTCATTACTTTTTACTTAATGATTCCAGAGTCACAGTGTTAAGTCTCTATTGAAGACAAGACATTGTATTTGGCACTTATCAGAAACCTTGTGCAAGGACAGACCTCCAGGACCCCCTTCACTTCCCCGAGTAGTGACAAGTCTTGACACCACCCTTAGGGACAGCACGCTGCGACATTTATGCAAGGGAAGGGAAAGGCACTTGAGCCACAAGAAGCGCAGGAGTGTGGACAGAGCACAGCAAGGGACTCTCAAGAACAGCGGTGCTTGACAGAGGAGATGCCAGCTCTTGGCACTTACCCACAGTGCAGAACTTCTTGAAATCAGGGCAGCACTCCATGTAGAGTTGACAGTTATAATCACAGTTGCAGGGGGTATCTCTAGAATACCCTTCCCCACATCTCCCTGCACAGCTTGATAAATCTAAAATCATACAATATAGGTAAACATGGCCAAACCACTTACAGAAAGGGAAAGGATCTCATAAGGAGGACAAAGCCATTGGGGGAGAGAATTGTGTCCATTGGAAAAGGATGGGAAAGATAATTAGCCACAGGGCCAGGTGATCTTTGCCTGATCTTTTATAAGACCCTTTGCCTGATCTTTTTAAGACCCACTTTATTCTTTCCTAGACTGAGAAGATAAATACACTCTTGAAAATCAAAGTAAGAGCTTTGTACACTTCCTGGGAGGGGGGTGGCAGCTACAGCTCTCCTGACGGTGCTAAGATAGTGGCTTGTTGCCATCATCGGAGCCTCTCGGTGCTGGGTACTGAGTCATATGTTATCTCTAACGCTTTTAAAAATGTTGCCAAGAGACTCTGAGTAGCTTCTCTTTCGAGATAAGGAAGCTGAAAGGCTGAAATTTTACTAATTTGCTTCAGGGCACCCAGCCAGTGAATAGGTCCAGCATACATGTATTACAGGTCCATGAATATCTGCTAATTATTCATATTGACCTCTCATTCTCAGAAGTGTCCTGTTTTCACCCTAAATTATAGAGTTACTAGAATCCCAGTGCATGAAATCCATGCCTATACCCTCTCATAATCCGGAATTCCTCGGGGGATGTCTCACAATCTAAGACTACTGGCTCCTAACCGCTCACCTGCCTACCTGCCCGAACACCCCAACCACTTTGCCTGCCTGCCTGATGGCCCCTAACCATTCTGCCTGCCTGCCTCATTGCTCCTAAACACTCACCTGCCTGCCTGATCGTCCTAACTGCTTGCCTGTCTGCATACTCCTAATCCCTCTGCCTGCCTGCCTGTCTGATCGCCCCTAACCGCTCTACCTGCCAGCCTGATCACTCCTAACTGCTCACCTGCCTGTCTGATTGCTACTAACCACCTCTGCCTCAGCCCCCACCACTGCAGCTTCGTCAGGAAGGACGTCCAGAATGATGTCCAGAAGTTCGTTCGGGTGTCCAGTCTAATTAGTATGTTACACTTCTATTATTATAGATCTTAATAGCCCATTTAGAATTTGAACTCTAATAGATCTGATTCTAAAACCCAAATTTTCTCAACAATCACAGGGCCTCTTGTTCTTGATGAGCTTAAATAAAGCTGGTTATACTCGCATAAACTCTCCTACGTGTCCTTTCTCTTTTATTGGTGGGGGGACCTGGGTCCTTTAAATGTCAGGGAAGTGAAATGTTTACAACCACTGCTAAAATGACTGCAAAATGAATAACTATTGAAATAACACATGGACATGAATATAAAAGTCATAAACAGAATATTTCTGTGTAAAAAAAAACAACACAAAAAATAGAAGCTTAATTATCCTCCAATATAGTTTCAAATTCATTTGGAAAACACCTTGAAATCCTCCCCCGAAAAGATAATCATGGAAAAACAACAATTGAACCCGTCTCTGGAATAGAAATTGGCAGGTGCAATGTCCTAAATCCATAGAGGGACTCTTGAAACATACTGGGGGGAAAATAATCTCAAAATGATGAGTCCAAGAGAGTGAAGGTCTTAATATACAATTTAAACAGTAAATATTAGGAAAACTTTCAGAAATGTTTGCATACATATGCACACAATACACACAGAAATGCATATATAGTGTATGTATATAAATACATATATTATATATAAAGAAAAAAAGGGAATGGGAAGAGGTTGAGAAGGCAAGAAAAGCAATTGCAACATCAAAATGTTATTTACCGTTAGCAGATTTCTGAAATAGGAAATCAATGTCTTTACAGGAAAGGTTCCTTTCCATAGATTACATGTCTGTACTTCTCTTGCTCTTCATTTTAATAACTAGTTTTAAATTCATTTACTTAAAGGAGAGTAACCCATTTTAATGAACCATTGACTATCACGGAGGAAAGGTGGGTTAGAAAAACACACCCAGTGCTGTGAGCCTTGTAATTTATCATGAAAGAGCAGCAGCGTCTGGAGATACCAGAGCTGTCATCGTTCCTTCTGAAATGCTTACATTTAATTTCATGCATTTTCCCATCTTTTCTTATCTCAGCGATTCTGAAACTAGGCCCATAGCGGGCAGTTACCTTTCTTGCTCAGGTTCATGAGAATTTTCATTATTTTACTGGAAATGTCTATGTCATGAATGTAATTTCACCATAACAATCATGCACCTAATATCAAATGGCATTCACATCTGTGTAATTCCATATCTGGTTGAACAGTCCTTATATAAGAAAGAGGATTTTATTAATCATTTTCAAGATTAATAAAATGCCATTTCAAACATTGCAGATGTTCACTGAAGTTTCTCAATACTTTATTTGATGTAAGAGATTAATTTCCTTGTAACTTAGGTAAAAATTATAGGCTATTTAAATACTGATCTGTATTTATTGTATCATCCCAGAGACATCTCCATAGGCTTTTTTTTAAATTTTTGAGATAACCCTGGGAATAACATTATTCTATAGGAAAGCTCAAAACTTCTTGAAAGATTCTATAATGCAGGAGACAAAGAGTGAAAATTCCAAAATGCTCATAAAAGGTGCATGTTTTTACACACTAAGGTTGTACTCTGCATTGAACTTAAACAAATGTGCACGTTTAGACATCTATTTCTGTTTTTGGCCTCAGAGTCAGAACTGAATGATGAGCCTTAGCTGTGAAATAAAACAGTTTTTGGTGAAGGTACCTTGAGGGGAAACTTGCTGAATCAAGAAAACAGAAAGCAGCAGCAGCAGCAAGTGAATGGGCAGAATCTTCCACTCCATGGCCATCGCTGAGAAGAAAAGAAAAGTGTCAGGAAACCCCTCTTTCCTCTCCTCACACGCTTACGTCGGTGCTGCACTCGCGTTTCGGTAACTTTTAAAATACGATGTAGGGATAAAACAGAACTTATAGTCAGCTTTCATTTCCTAGTAATCATTTGAACACTGGATGTAATCTTATGCAGGAGAAATCAAGTCACCATCTCAGTCATGCCACTGAACAATTTCATTCTTTAGAATTCCCCCCATAGAATACAAACTTATCTGCACATGTGATTAAAATCAAAACAGGTACTTACAGTGCACGGCTTAACTTCTATCTTGAGGGGAAAAAATAACCAGCCTCAGTAAAACTTCATTTAACAAACATAGGAGTTACCATTCCGAATTTCCCTTCGCTCTCAATACCCATTCACAAGCTTCCAACAGGTGTACTGCACAAATGGGATCTTTCCCCAAACCCCCCAACTACCATCGCCTTACACATCTATTTCAAACACCTTTCATAAAGTTTATCTCGACTGAGTTGAAAGCATGGAATGCCATAAAGCAAGTGAACGTTGACACTTACCGGTGAGAGGATAGATGGATTTCTCCAATGTCCTGGAAGTCCTATATATATCAGTGCAGACACACTGGGATGAACCAATTAGTCCAAAGGTTAGACAAAATCAACAGTGACAGCCAATGAAATCAAACTTTCCTCATTTATTGGAAGAGGGCCCGGCCGGCCAGGCTTAGGCAACATCTGGAAAACACTTCCATTAAGAGAAATGACTACTACAAAATAAATTTCGATTTATTGGCCCAAACACCTCTAATTTCTCAGTGAACAAATTGTTCTGAGATGGCAAGGCACCCTGGCTGGCTTTGACAAGTATTCTGAAACAGCAACTTTTAAATGTCAAACGCTCATATCATTTCTTCCTTTTTCTTCCAGTTAATCTAGCAAAGAGTGGTTTTGAAACTTACCTAGTGTTAGCCTGTGGCATGTATTTTCTGAACTTACGCTATTATTAAGTCAAACGTACATGTTTGTTCTTGAGTATTTCTGTTTTCCTGGGGCTCGAAAAATAGGTCCTGTTACCTACCACTGCAGAATCCAGTGTGGATTCTCCAGGTTGCTCCTCCGTGGATTATAGAAACCTGCTTGACATCTGTGTCATTTCCTCAGTTCCTTCATTAAGCCCAGCAGTGTTTGGAAAGGGCCTTTTTAACCCTTTTTTTCTTTTAAAGAAAATATATTTTATTGCTTTTTTACAGAGAGGAAGGGAGATGGATAGAGAGTTAGAAACACTGATGAGAGAGAAACATCAATCAAACGCCTCCTGCACACTCCCCACTGGGGATGTGCCTGCAACCAAGGCACTCGCCCTCGACAGGAATCAAACCTGAGACCTTTCAATCTGCAGGCCAATGCTCCATCCACTGACCCAAACCAGCCATGGCTTTTTTTAACCCATTTTGATAAGCAATGTTCCTGTTCAAATCCTATCTACCTGCATAAGGCCTTGCCCATGATCCAGCACCGTTGCAAAAGGTGTCTCGGGTCAATCACAGATCAATCCCATCCAGAATCATAGTCAGCACTACCTTTTATTGAAATTATCTGTTCCTCTGCTTCCTTCCCACCACCACAGTCTGTGATTTTTCTCAAGGATAACCAGCAGCGAAGTCTTAATTCTGTTTCCAACATCTAGTCCAGCAGTCCACCAAGGCTGCTGGGCAGTTTCATTGAAACAAACTGTTGTGACCTGGGATCTCCCCGTGTTATGTGTTTGTTAAGTGTTGCGTTGAATTGCTACAAAATGCCTTTAAGTGGAATATAATTATCCACATCTTACAAGTAAGGTGAAGACCCACAGACGAATAATCTGTGACCCACGAAGAACACATAGGAGCGGGAGGCAGAGGGAAGCTTTGCGTCCAGGTCTTTAAGTTCCACCGCGTTCCCATGCTATCCAGCTCCCTCTGAACCAAAGCCATCACTTCAGTCTGTAATCACAGTCCTCAGTTTTACTCCTTCACGATCACAGGTAGGTTAATGAGATCGTGCCCTCCGTAAAGGCAGAAGCTATGAATAAGCAAGTCTTTTGCTCCCACGGTGCTTATCTCTGGGCTAAACCACGTTCAAACACAATTTAGAGACCGTCTGTCTTTCTCTACGTAATTTCCTCTCTGGATATGACCTCTTTAGGGGCGTTTCCCCTTTAGCCACTTCTCTAGATGTGACCCTGTCGCACCTGCCACAGAGGATAGGCTTAACCTAAGCTGAACTGGGCCAGCGTGTTTCCCTGTACCAGAAACTGGAAACAATGATTTCGAGGTTAGGCAGATGTCTCACATGCTCATTTCTGTCCAAGGTCTAAAGGAGTCAGAGAAAGTGCTTCAGAATAAGGAGCGGAAAGAATGAAGCAGCCATGCAGAGAGAGGCAGAGTGGGGTCTGATGGCTTTCAGGAACTCTTTGTTCCTAAGATCCAGATGCCTTCTTGCTCTCCATCCTCACGCAGCCACCCCCCTCTGGGTTGAAGCCGCTAAAGAGAAGCTTTCTGTTCCTTAACATCTCCAATCAAAACACAGCAGATACGCAAAACACCCTACTGGATGGAATGAAGCCGAATTCTCTTAGTTCTTAATTTCCTGAGGTCAAGAGGATCCAGAAGCTTTTTCAAGCCAGACCTACACAGTATTCCCTTATTATCTGTTTGACACCCTGGGAATGCCAAGGAAGCAGGTATAGCCAGATACACATAGACACGCATCCTGAAAGCAAATATAAATTGCTCTCTGATTACCACCTATTAGAACCATCCATACTATCGTTTTCCTCGTTTACACAAATGTACTACAATGATGGCAAAAGACATTTTAAAATTGCTGAAAATCTGTTCCCGTGATATGTATTCTCAAATTCAACTCTAAGCTTAGAAAGCTGACAAACAAAACAACACATCTACACACACACTATCATGGTCAACCCATTAACACATTCTCATTGTCATCAAATCCTTTTTCTCTGTATAATTAAGTATGGGGGGGGGGGGGGAAGAAACTATTAAATGTGAAGTTCTAAGGCTCATCTTATAAATACCCAATTTTCATATTGCCATTGGCTAATCAAACCGTCTGGGTAGATGAAGTTTGCCCCCAAAGCCTAGAAGCATTTTAATTTCACCTATTTAATGTATCTTATAAACTGTGCCAAGTGCTTCATTCTGCGACTACTGGGCCATTTACTCTTGCTTGTCCATCACACAGCAATTGTTCCATTAGGTTTAGGTTCTCCCTTTGACATGTTCTTATTAAAAGGTATTTTATCCATTTTCACTTAGGAAAACGTTTATCACAGGATTGGTTGTTCATAAGGGGGAGAGGGAGAGAGGAAAGAGATGGAAGGAAAGCAGGTAAATAATTATCAGATCCTCTCCTCATCTCCTGGGCATAACTTTCCTCCCGTTCTCCCTCATGAGCCTCACTCTCTGACCTTGGCAGCCCCGCAGTGCCGCCCTCAGAGAGCATGCGGTGTGTCCAGGGTGTTCTCTCCGCAGTAAATTTTCCCAGATGGCCGTGCCCTCCTGCTTGATGTGCTCCGACTCCATCCCCGCCGTTCGCTGTCACTGTGTCCTATAGCCAGTGAGTCTGTACCCAGTGGCTTCCCTCCACCTTTCCACGGCTTTGATGGGTTCCATTTCCTCCCAGCAGCAGCCCAGGAAAAACTGAAGCGTGCTGGGGGAGCACCCCAGAGGCCAGCCAGCTCTTTACAGCCCCAGGTTTGCTCCTAGGGCTCGGTGAGTGGACTCCAGAAGCGGAAAACTCCTCTCCTCTCCTTGGGAGTAGAGACCTGGGTGTGGGGACTGGCTCTGTCTATTCTGTTAGGGCATTTTCATGTAGAAAAAAGGGTCATGGCTTTTTTTTTTCCTGGATGTTGATCAAAAGTCTGCCCATTAGATAAGAGAAGTAGCATTGCATTTGCTTTGGGGGATTTGTATACTACACAACAACACAAATGAACTATGAGTAATGAACCCTTAGTATTGGGAAGGAAGAAGTAAACGGCTTTTATTTGCAGATGACATGATTGTATATGTAGAAAATCCTGAAAAATTTAAATCAAGCTCCTGTGATACAAGATCAATCATAAGATTTATCCCACTTTAATGTATGAACTCAGATGTGTTGTCTCTTGAATGTTCATAGAATAAGAGTTCCTTTATTTGTTCATTCATTCCATTGTCTCAAAATATATATTTTTAAAATATATATATATAGTTGATTTTTTACAGAGAGGAAGGGAGCGGGATAGAGATTCAGAAACATTAATGAGAGAGAAATATTGACCAGCTGCCTCCTGCACACACCCTACTAGGGATGTGCCCACAACCAAAGTACATGCCCTTGACCGAAATTGAACTAGGAACCCTTCAATCTGCAGGCCGAGGCTCTATCCACTGAGCCAAACCGGTAGGGCTCTTAAAAATATTTTTATTGTCAAAATCGATTTGGCTCAGTGGATGGAGCGTTGGCCTTCGGATTGGAGGGTCCCAGTTTCTGGTCAAGGGCACGTACCTTGGTTGCGGGCACATCCCCAGTAAGGGGCGTGCAGGAGGCAGCTGATCAATGTTACTTTCTCATCAATGTTTTCGACTCTCTCTCTCCCTTCCTCTCTGTAAAAAATAAAATAAAATATATTTTAAAACACTTTTATTGATTTCAGAGAGAAAGAGTGAGGGAGAGAGAGAGAGAAACATCAATGATGAGAATCATCGATCAGCTGCCTCCTGCACACCCCGTACTGCGGAATGAGTCCGCAACCCAGGCATGTGCTCTGACCGGGAATCAAACCATAACCTCCTGGTTCATAGGTCAACACTCAACCATCAAGCTACCTCGACTGGTCTACCATCGTTTCTTTTGGTGCATGATTGCTAATTCTATACCTGTTTGTTCACCTTACAAGTTTACAGACTTTCTTCTCATGGCCACTTTGCCATCAGAGCTCAGT